TGATTCCTCATTTTTACAGTGACTGCCTGCTGATGAAAATAGAGAATAAATATTTTTTTTCCCTTTGTTTCCTTGTGCAGCCTTTGCTTTTTCTTTGTTAAACTACCTTTATTGTGAACCACAGGGGTTTTTTTCTATCCATCTTATTTTCTCCTTCCCTGGGGTTCTGGGGGGGAGGTGTGATAGATCATCAGGGTGGGCACCTGGCAGCAGGCCAAGGTCAACACCCCACCCAGTGACAAGATGACAGGTTTTAAATTGAAAGAGGGTAGATTGGACACAAGGAAGAATTTATGATTAGGGTGGTGAGGCGCTGGAACAGGTTGCCCAGAGAAGTTATGGATGCCCCATCCCTGGCAGCGTTCAAGGTCAGGTTGGATGGGGTTTTGAGCAACCTGGTCAAGTGGAAAGTTCCCTGCCAACCCCCCAGGCAGGAAGGTTGGAACTGGATGACCTTTGAAGTTCCCTTCCAACCCAAATCATTCGATGATTCTGTGATGAAAACTGTAAGCACCTGTACCACAAGCAAGCGTTAAAATAAAATCAAACCTCAGTAACTGTTAGTGGATTCTCACTTTCAGTTTGCAATACTAAAATTTGCTGTTTAACTCAGAATGGAGTACTGATACATGTACTCATACCAACAATAATATCATAAAAGCCAAATCATGAAGAAATCTGTTACAGGCAGATGTAAAATTATGCAGAACACAGAAGCAACAATGAAGCATTCAATACAAAATGGAAATGCAAAGCCCCTCCTGAGACATGATCAGAAACAGAAAACTGGAGTTAGAAGAGGCACAAAAAAGGGAGACAGGCCAAAAAAGGAAGAACCGAAGTAGCTGAGATGAGAGATAGCCAGGCAAAAATGGGACAAAGGAACATTTTATAGCCCCAGTGCAATATATGCTGGTTATCTGGAACAGTAACTATGTGACACATTCAGAATAGCATTCATCTTCTTTTCTTTGCAGTAGTTTAAACCAACATTTTTGTTTTATTTTTATGTTTTAGAAAATACTGCCTGTTCTTAAGAGCTACCACTTGTCTTTAACTCCTGGAGCCAGTGGGGAGTTAACCTTTGTGTTCCTGGCTTAAAGGACAGTGTCAAGTCAAACAATCTGCACAGACAACAAAAAGTTTCCAAATCACCTTGGCTAGCTGCTGTGTATTTTGGACATCTCAGTCACAAAATGACAACGTTTGGCAAGTATTTAATTTGCTGCTAAAACAGTTCCAATGCTATTTGTGAAGCCAAATAATTTGGTGAGTTTCCATTAAATGTCTATACAGACCTGGCCCCACAAAAGATGTGTTCTGATGTCCTAACAGCTGAGACAAAACAAATTACAGCCTTTTTATGTGGCTACTCATGACCTTCAGTTTAAGAAAGTGGGAAATGTCCATGTTTCATTTTTTTGCTGACATATTTAGTATTAAGCTTTCCACATTCGCTGTCTTTGCTGTAAGATTCTCCTGTTGATGCCAACATTGTAATTAATTTACAACACATTGTGGACAGTCTCTTCTGAAGAATTACGACACCTCTTAGTCTTAAAAGCATCCCCAGCCCTTCAAGCAGGCTTCATTGCCACCTGACTATAGCACTGCACAAATGCACACAAAAGTTTCCACCTAGCAAAGCGCACTCATGACTAAACCAAATCTTCTGTGGTACATTCTGAGTGCACTAATGCTCACCCAAGGATACTTGCCAAGTCATCATCTTTTGTAACCAGCTGACCAGGATGTGGTTTAATCACATTAACTCGCCAAACTATCAAATTTGACATGGCTAAAGGCAACATTCCATTTTTCTGGAGAAGTTTCAGTCAACTTAGCAGAGGGCAGAACCACACCAAGAGTTCAATCTCTTCATCAGTCACGCAGACGAAGGGATCCAGTGCATCCTCAGCAAGTCTGCAGATGACACCAAGCTGAGTGGTGCAGTTGACACACCTGGAGGATGGGATGCCATTCAGAAGGGACCTGGACAAGCTCAAGAACTTCATGAGGTTTAACATGACCAAGTGCAAGATGCTGCACCTGGGTCGGAGCAACCACCGCTATCAATCTAGACCACGGGATGAACAGACTGAGAGCCCTGCTGAGACTTGGGGGTGCTGAGAGGCTGGGCATGACCCAGCCATGGGCACTTGCAGTCCAGAAAGCCAAACCTTTCCTGGGCTGCATCTAAAGCCCCATGGGCAGCAGGGTGAGGAAAAGGATTCTGCCCCTCTGCTCTGCTCTGGTGAGGCCCCACCTGCAGTGCTGCACCCAGCTCGGGGGTCCCCAGCACAGGAAGGACATGACCCTGCTGAAGGGAGTCCAGAGGAGGCCACAAAAATGTTCAGAGGGATGGAGCACCTCTCCTATGAGGAAAAGCTGAGACAAGTGGTGCTCTGCTGCCTGGAGAAGGCGCTGGGGACATCTCACTGTGCATTTCCAGTACATAAAGGAGGATAGAAGAGAGCTAGAGAGGGACTTTTTACAGGGGCCTGTAGTCACAGGGCAAGGGGGAATGGATTCAAACTTTAAGAGGGCAGATTTACATTAGATATTAGAAAGAAATTCTTTGCTGTGAGAATGGTGAGACACTAGAACAGGATGCCCAAGTCTAGTGAAAGGTGTTCCTACCTGTGGCAGTGGGGTTGGAACTAGATGATCTTTAATGTCCCTTCCAACCCAAACCATTCCATGATTCATGACAGGTTCCCTAATCAGTATCTCAAAGTTTTAAAATTCATCTGGAAGTAGCAGATACAATTCACACATGGTGAATTATCATGCAATTGTGAATTATTTAAGGTTTTGGCACTCTTCTGGAATACATGAAGAAAAGGGGCAGAAAAGTATGTCTAAGAACTACATCCATCCATTACAGAACACTTTTACAGAAATCTACAGGAAAATTAAGTCTCACAGTTTAAGAGAAGATGGGGAAGAGCACACCATGTATGTCTGAATTGTTAACTATTTCAAGTGAAAGAAACAGGAGGATCTTTGCCCTCTTCTAGATGCCCAAAGCACATAGCATCAGTGCTTGTTTCCTTCTTATCTAAGCACACTGAACACAACACTATAGCTTGTTCAATGCCTGCAACAAACACTTGGCTTCAGAAAATCTCCTCGTTTTTAAGTTAAATATTTATTACTTAGATTTCCTTCCTAAAATATATGGAAGTATTGTTATTGACAACTGCTAAGCATAAATATATTAGAGATTTCTAGCTATCCATCTCTGAACAGAAAATCACCATAATGTAAATCAAGAAATATTAAAAGAATTACTTTAAGAAAATTGCTCATTCTATAGCTCTAAATGCAACAACATTAAATTTGATACCACAAAACTTTAAAATTTGACTTCAGAAAGGAAGCTTCCATCCCACTAGCATTGCAGGCCTCAAAAAAAATCACAGGCACTTCAAACACAAATTGGTGAGGAGTATGATGGAGAGCTACCTCTGAAAGCTGAAAGCTTGATTTTTTGTTTTCCTTATAATTT